AGTGCAGAGTTGCAAGGAGTGGGTTTGGGTGTTTTTCTGCTAGGTCTTTTGGAGAAAATTGGGAGTGGGTCTTTATTTCTATAATATTGTAACTGTGAGGGCAAACTTATCATTTTCATGTGTTTCTATGGCAGATGTTTAGTAATACAGATAGTCCTTGATTTATGACCACAACTGAGTCCCAAATTTCTGTTGCTAAGCAAGAGAGTTTTTAAGTGGGTTTTGCCCATTTTATGACCTTTCTTGCCACAGTTGTTAAGGGAATCTGGCTTCCCCATTGACTTTGCTTGACAGAAGGTCACAAAAGACAATCACACGACCCTGGAAGACTGCAACCGTTATAAATACATGGCAGCTGCCAAGTGTTCAGATTTCAAATTTTTGATCAGATGATGATGCGGATACTGCAATTGATGTAAATGTGAAAAACAATCATAAGTCACTTTTTTCAGTGCCATTGTAACTTTGAACTGTCACTAAATGAATAGTTGTATGTTGAGGACTATCTATAGTAGCAAAAAGGTCCATTTCTCTTTAATACAAGTACAGTATAAAATGGACAAAGCTTCTCCTTTAATACATTGAAAACCTAGTAGGACATGTACAAAATAAGTGCTCAGGATTATATTCTTGCTCTCTCTAAAATAGTGAATGTTTACAGTACTACAACATTCAGAACAAATTTTAAGTAACATCACTTAAAAAGAGCAAAATCTGGTTTATTACAGGTAGTCCTTGATTAACAACCATTGCATAGCAATCATTCAAAGTTATGATGGACTTCCCCGGAGCCTCCCCACCACCTGCAAAGAGTTGATTCAAAACAGAACTAAATTTTTGGTCCCTAATCCATAACCATACACATACTATTGTTTTTGTTGATTGAATGTCAGTGATGCTGGTGGAGGAAGGAAATGCATCATATCCTTTTAGCTTTAGTGAAAGTGCAATCCAGAAATATTTAATTTTAGCAATAGGAAGATATGTTAGCACTTCAAAGCAAATACAGCAGCTGCTTAATAATAAGCCAAGGGATAAAATACAGAACCGGGGATCAAATAATATAGCTGAAGTTTTCTGAAAAAGGAGCATTTTCTGAAAGGCAAAAGCTGAAACAAAGAAACAAAAAGCAGATGTTGAACTCATTTTCCACTGCTGAAAGAACTTGGAGAAAAAAGCTTGTTTTAAAAATGTGGAAAGTTAATCTCTGTCTCAGCAAATACTACATTTGTTATTCTATATTTCATTGCCATTACCTTAGGTAACTGAAAATTCATCAAATTTTGCCCAAAGAAAAATGATCAAAAGGAATTCTATGTCTCTCAATGTGTCCTGGAGTATCTACAACCTTAAACCACTTGTTAAAAAAGAGCCTTGTTTAATTATTACAAAGGAATATTCTTTCAGTAAGAACTACGCAACTCCAACATGACTGGAAAAAAACTTAAGTCATATTTAGATGGGGCTGGAGTGTTGTTGTAAGCACTTGGAGAAGGCACTTGGAAAAGCATTTGTTCAGCTACTCATGAACAACATTAGAGGGATCATACCCATGCTTATAGCCTCCTATCTATGTATTTGCCATGAGGCAGGAGTTAACAGTCTTTAGAGACTTGAAGTATATTTAGAATTTGGAGAATGAATGTACTCACAAAATGGCTGTGATATTCCTAGAAATAATGTGAAAGCGGAGGCAGAATTTTTGTTTTGTTCCTTGTTTTTGTTTTCAATATGGAATCTATTATTTTTATTTAAAAACATTAAACATCAGGAGAGCTGGGCCATGTACCCAGGGCAGTATTTTTATGGGATGGGAAAAAAGCAGTACATTCTCTGATCTAGTTACTTCCATTTCTGCTGGAAAGCAATTTCTAGAATTCTCAGCCACCATGGCTTGTGGTTATTCCAGGTTATAATTGGCTGACATAATGTAGAACAGGGGTGTGAAACTCAAGGTCCATGGGAAGCTTAGATCTGGCTCGTAGGGCCACCCTGGAAACAGTAAGGGACCATCCCACAGTGCCTCTGCCAGAAAAAAATGGGCTCCCAAACTCTGTTACCAACTGAGACGGCTTCCTGAAACCTCTGCCAGTGAAAATAGAGCTCATGAGGATCCCGTTTTTGCTGGCAGAATGCTCAGGCCACCACAGGTGCCTCCAATATGAGTGACATTGAGTTGGCCACATCCTCCCTGGCCACAAACCCCCAGCCCTCCCCGAGGTCAAACACAACTGTGATGCGGACCTCAATGAAATTGAGTTTGACACCCCTGATATAGCAGATACAGGATGCTATGATAAAACAAATGCTTTGAATGTAGAAAAATCACAAATTCAATTTCTGGCTTCTTCAGTTATAGATGTGAGCTAACTCATTAGCAGAAACCTCTTCATGAAATCCTGCAGAGTGGTCAGAATACTGTAATAGCAAGCGCCACTAGTGGCTTCTTGGTTTTAGCAGCTTCCCATAAACACGTAAATGTAAGATGATACAGAGAACATTGGCAACAGCCTTGGAGAACAAGGTGAAGAACCATTACTAAGGCAGAGGTCAGATAAGTGGGAGTTGAGCTCATTCCAAGAAACTAATTTGAAAAATCATCCCAGAGAGGCCCTTCTTTAGTTCACACAAAGATAAAGGGAGGGAGGGGGAAGCACATTCAGACTTACAAAATTCTGTTCTATGCCTGTTACAATAAAAGTAGTCCTGATCTATGTGATATTGGTTTCTTACTCCAGTTTAAGTTGAACAAAGAAACAATACAGGTTTTACAAGAAAGGAAGTATGTGAAGAATTGAGAAATAATTGAGTAATCTTACCAACATTTTTTGTGAAAAACATGGTGATAAATTCAAGACCATATTCCTGACCACCATGCCCCTTTAATAGAATATTTAAAATTTGTACCAAAAATATATGACAGGGGTGTCAAACTTGCAGCCCGAGGGCCGGATGCAGCACACACTGGTCATGTTCACCTCAGGTTTAGCAAAGGGGGGCAAAGGACATGATGTGTCACATGACAACATGGCACTGAGAGTTTGTTACCCTTGACATGTGAGAATACCTATAGTCAAGATACAATCATTGGACAAAAGCTATTTTTCCACAATATAGTCTAGAAGCTATTATAGAACTCCATGAATAGGAAATAGCAGCGTGGGTCAGCAGTTTCACTGAGGATATTGTGAACTCACCTCCAATGACAAGTTTTTGCTCATCTTTCTTTTACTATTTCTGCCACTCTTTTTAATGCTCTCTGACTACCAAAGTTGGTGAAAATGAATCCATAAGACTGAATGAAGAAATCCTGAAAATATTTTTAGTCAGAATTTTGCTATGTTCGCATTCTTCAGTCATTGTAAAGAATTCATTATAATTGCTTTATAAATGCCATATATACGCATGGATAAGTCTACTCTAGAATTTTAAATAAAATATGAAAAATGATTCATCCATAGATTTTTTAAAAATGTTTTAATTTGTACAATTGGCTTATTCATGGATGGGGCATTTTTCATGTTATTTTCTTTAAAAATCCAGAGGTCAGTTGCCAATAGATGTACTCATCATTGAGTGCACCATGTGCCACAAGATGGGCAGCATATAAATAAACAAATATAGATATGTTTTTTTAAAGCATTACCGTATATGCTAAAGAGAACAGCTAACCAAAACCAAATTTTTGATGTGTGTTTTGGAACCTAACATTTTTAACTTACCTGTGAATATACACAATACTAACTGATACCACTTTCTTTGGGAAAAAAAAAATCAGTGACTATTTTAAAGGGACAAGCATAGACTTCAATTGATACAGTAATACAAATTAAAACAACCCTTATTAAATGGTTGCCCAGTCTCTACTTCAACATATCCAGTGTATGATAAACTACACTGTTTCCTTGTTGCTAGTGTCACTGTGAAATCAAACCAAACCAAACCAAACTCCCCTTAGGTATTTAAAAAATAATATCTCTTCCAATTATTATCCCCCCTCCTATTTTGCATTTTAAAGGATAAGTATAATGATGACTTCCGGTCTCTCCTCAATGGAACTTGTTTTTCCCATCTTCTGCTCTTTTCCATTACTCTCCCTAAATTGCCCCAGGCTGAATACTTCTTAAAGTGTGGGAGTACTGATAGTATGTTGTGAATCCAAGGGAATTTGTTACTTGTCAGACCAGCAACTCTCTCAAGCATTAGTAGCAACACCTAGGTGTATGGAATAATACTTAGCTACTTACCCAGCAGCTATACTGCCTGTTTAACCACTGCAGAAATGTTGAATAGCCTTAAGAAAACAGCTACTGCTTATGCAAAAGTGTGTGAAAAGAACAGTTCACATACAGGAAGTTATTAATTTGGGTTGTTTTATTGAAAATTAACACATCTTCTTTGTGCCTTTTATCTGCTGTCTGGAGTAATCCTCTGAATAATCAATGTTATGGTGAATCCAGAAAAAAAACCAATAAACTCTTTAATATATTGTAGAAGTTTCCCTTTCAGCATGTTCATTCATGGGCAATTTGAGAGCAATATGTGACCCTGCCCTCTAAACCTACCCCTCTTCATCACATTTGCATTGTGGAAGAAAGTATATGTGGAAAGTGTTTTTGTGCATTCTATCCCTCAGCAAAATCTTCATTTGGGTCATTGGGAAACAAAATGAAAGTCTTAAAGCTATGATATTCAATTTACAAATTCAAATGTTATTTCATGAAATTATAGGTAAAAGTGGTTTAACACTGATACATTGAATTCATATAAAAATTATACTTAAGTATCCAGGTCCTGCAGTTAAAGATTCCCTTATGAAACATGATTATCTTTACTGTGTTTTTTTTAAATGAAGACACAGTTTTGACTCAATAACTGAAATTTCCCACTAACTAAAAAAAACACCATTCATTCCAATTCTTCAGCTTAGGAAAGCATAAGAGCAATCACTATAATGTACAAACAATATACTTGGGTTACATGTGAGACAACATTCTATTCTCTTAACCATCTTTATTTTATTTTTAAAAAACAAAATCTTTATTAATAAAGATTTGAACAGGAATAAAATATACAGAAAACATTTCTTTTTGGAGCTTACATTTCATGGAAAATCGTTTGCATCTTACAATTCTCTGTACAAGGCATATCACAACAATGTGATATGCCAATCTGATGTGTTAACAAAAGATTGATTGTGTAATTGGTTGGCCATCTATATATTAGTCATTCATATTAAAATAATATATATGATTTCATCGTGAATTCTAACAAAATATATTTTATTCAAGATCCAAATAAAATGTTAGGGTATCTCTTGCATTCAATGTGTTTTCAAGTATAGTTGTTCCTCTATGTTTGATTCTTTTAAGAAGTCATCCTCTCTTGTAAATAATTTAGGGATCATATCAAACATTGGTAAATTGAGGATTGTATGTGTTTACCAGTAATCAGAGGTAGCCAAAAAATACTGCAAAAAATCCTAGATAATCATTCCAAACAACTGGTTCAACACTTTATTTTCTTAAAATAGCCATTTCCAATAAAAGACAATAAACGTAACTTAGGGTTGAACTATGAGGTCCTTGGTGTTCTTTGGGCAGGTTGCTTGCTTGCCAATGTTTCATTAGCCAAATAGGTAACACCATCAGTATACATTTGGGGTTTTCTCCCTGTTTATATATAGTAGCTTGCTCTGCCAGTGTTGGTAGGGCTGTGGTTTTCTCCTTGAGTGATGGAGCAGATGGTTTTCTCTCTTGTTTGTCTTGTCCCTGATTATTGGGTTTTGGATGCTGGAGATGATGGGTTGTAGTCTTTTTGTTTCCTTCTTAGTTTTTTAATTATCTTTTTTGAATGATATGTAAAAGTGATTTTTTGAATGATATATAAAAGTGGTTTATCTCTATGTATCTAATCAACAAACTAATAGAGTAACTTCCAAAGAAAAAAGCACAGCTCCACCAATACAGCCAGGGCAAGCTGCTGTATATAAACAGGGAACAAATCCAATGCTCATTGGCACAGAGGATGTTACCTACTGTAGTTGAGTAATGAAACATTGGCAAACAAACGAACAAGAGAGCACCACAGACTCTACCTCCATTTTCTCATATATTGCTATGTCTTAGCATGTTCTTGATTGTTACAGCTAGAATAGTCCAATTTCCTGCCTTGTGATTACTATAGCTACAACGTCTGAAATTAAGGCAATGGCAGAAGCAAAGATTAAAGGGACATCTTGAGAAATTCCACAGAAAGAAATTATACAGTTATGAACTATTTGTGAATGCCAGTTTAATGTACTAGTTAAGGCATCAGGCTACCAATGTGGAGACCATGAGTTGTGCAAAGCCAGTTGGTGACTTTGGGCCAGTCACTTTCTCTCAACTCTAGAAAAGAGCCAAAGGCAAACCATGTCTGAAAAACCTTGCCAAGAAAACTTTAGGGACTTGTCCAGGTAGTCTCTGAGAAATGGTCATAACTCAACAGGAGAAGGAAAAAATCTATATAGATTTATGGAAAAAAGCAGGAAGTACAGTTTGCGAGGCCATTACACCTTTAATATTCAATTCTGCTCCAATAGAACATTGTACAAAGAAGCACCCAAGTCTGGAAAAAAAAGGAAACAATTCAAGGAGAATTATTGCAAACATCTTTTTTTATGCAGCACATTTTGGTTTTCAACTTTAAAACTCCATTGAATAGAAGAACAGCCTGTAGTTAATTTGTACTAGCAGTATAATTAGGTGTGGGACAACTAGCTCTCTGAATTAAGCATATATTGTGTTCAACATAGAACCCCAAGGTGGTTTTATTACCATACAGAAATACAAATATATAAATTTAATAAGCACCATGGCTGACAGCAAAACTATGAAAACTTCTGCAAGTAAAATGGTTCTCAGGTCTCCCTCTTTTTATGGAAAATTCTCCAGTCAAAGGAGCAATCTCATAAAGGCTTCCATTAAAGTCACTGCCAAAAAGTATGCACAGAAACAAATATTCAGACTGCCCAGGAATTTAGGACAACTTTGTTTCCTTGAATGTTTCTGCCTGACTGTGGCAATGTCTAGGGCAGAGGTGACAAACTTTTCCTGTTGACAGCTACATTCCTTTCTGAATTATAGATGCCAACATTAGGTGTGCCTGAACCAGCAGTAGAGAAAGCCAAGCCAAGCTCAAAAGGGACCAGGAATATGCTTTTGCTTCCCTGCCCAGAAGGCTACCAGAGCAAGGTCTTTTTCAAAGCTGGAGAGATAAGCAATTAGTCTTGTCTGTACACACTGGCCAGGGCTGTGTGGACTCCAGATCCCCCAGCCAGAATGCATTTCTGTTAGCAGAAATTATGGGGAATTCTGAGAGTTGGCTAATTTGAAAAACACTGTTTGATTGGTTGGAATATATAAATCAATAGTTTAATCAGGGCAGAAAAAAATAAATATGTTTAAATGTTAAAGGAAAAATTACTTCAGGATTTCAACATTTCCCACATTGCCCTGACTATAGTTAAATTCTCCTCAATGAGGAGAAAACAATGATAAAAATATTACATTGATGTCATCTAAAAGAAAAGTAAGGAAAAAAAAACAAGGGGTGGGGGGAGTAGCCAGATTCCGAGCTGGACCTCTCAGAATCTTTTAAAAGTCCTGTCCTAGGCATAGAACACACTTTATTAAAAATCTGAACTGATTATTTGTGATAGACCAAGATGGGCTATCATAACTATTCCCACATATTCAAACATATTGTAAAAGGGAGAGACTGGGAAAGAGGATTCTGGATCTACTTTTGAGTAACACCAGTGTCCAATTTCTTCAAGAATAAGATTTGGGAAACTAAGAAAAGATTCCTTTCCCTTCTCTTCCCTTCCTTTTCCTTCCTCCATTATTGTATTGTAATGCAGTGGTACTTTGGTATTCAACTGCTCTGAAACTCATCGAACTTGGTAGTCAATGGATTTTGACATGATACTTTTGTTCTAGTACTCATTGTTTGTGGTACTCAATGCACAAGCTAGACCTTGGGATCAGCTGCCATTATACTTTGTATACATTTGTTTGATACTCATTGTTTTTGGATTCATTGTGCCTCTCGTAATCAATTAATGATGAGTACTGAGGTACCACTGTATTTGTTAAGATGAGAGTGAGAGAGACTGTCTAGCTTGCCTCAACCTATTGATGAACTTTAGAATTCATATTCCTGTTCAGCCTGGCTATCCCTAGTACAACTCCAACATTATTTAAACATCCTAAATATTCTACTATGCCTGTCATTCAGGTGACATGTTCCCATCATGTTTGTTCACATGCCTCTCATTTGCTGATAACCAGTCTTCCTGCATTTATTCACATTCTTTTTATTGCCTTCCTAGAGGTCATTTTATATTTAAACTAAGGCTTGTCTTACTGGTTAAGGGACTCTGTAAACTCAGGTAGCCATTGCAAGTGTCCAAGAAGGACAGCACAAACAAGTCATACAGTACATTACAAACAAGTTTTCCCTGTTATGAAAGGCTTATCTGACCTTAGCTGGCTCACAACATTAAAACTGTGAGTTCAATCCCAAAACACTGGAGACTCAATTAAGCTGTAAACTTTTGAGATGGTTTGCTAAAACCCAAGCAACTTCAATTACACACAACCATTAGTGACAACAGTATAAGCAGGCAGGTCTTTGATAGAAGTCATTTACAAACAAAATTTAATGCTAAAAAACGAAAAGGAAAAGACATTCACCAGCAGGACCAAACCTTTCCGAAGAGAATGGATAACAAAATGAAAAAGTAAAGGAACAAAAAAGTAAAAGGTTAAGAGCACAGCTTAAAATTAGCCCTAAAATGCACATTAAAGACACTAAATCCTAAAGCCCAACAAATGAAGTTCTGTTAGATACTTACAGTCCAGCACAGAATGGCAAATCCAAACCAGGCAACACCCCAGGCATGTCTGTTCATGGGGCCAGCAATAGTTTCATAGCAGCCCTAGGGGAAAATAAATAGGAAGAGGTTCAGCTACAAGCACATAGATCTAGTTGCTAAGCCTTAATTCAAAAGAAGGATTGATATAAATTATTACAGGCAAGTTTTAATGTGAACTTGTACCTGCCTGATTCATATGGAACTAGAATGAACTTACTTGTCAATACTGGCAGTTTCCAGAATTGTGCAATATGGCTTGCAACCAATAAATATGTGCCCAAAAGTGTGTGTGGGAGGTAAAACAATGTATTCAGGGAAATTGTTTGCAAACTATGTATACATTAACAAAAGTCCATACAAAAATGTGCATTTTAGATTGAAATTTGTGCAAAAATGTTTATGGATTCTTACACAGATATTTTTAAGTCAGATTTGAAAACTAAATATGTATGAGCCAAAAAATGCCAACATGTGGGAATCATTAAAAATAGTATGTATACTAATATTTGCAAATAAGTAAAACAGTATGTCATCAAGCAAAAAAAGAGAAAACACACTTCCAGGTTGGAAGATGAGGAGATTTCTCTGGAAATACAATATCTTTAACTTCATCAGTCCAACAAGGGACTGAGCAATAACTAAAGCAATTATATAAAAATTCATTAGAATTTTAGCATCCATCTTTTCAAAGTAAATTTATTCTCAAACAGCTGTACTGATGCGGTTAAAAGTCACTAAAATCATTGATGTGATTATCCAGATTGAAATGGAGGAATCCCATTTTAAAGAATTGACAAAGTGAAGGATATCAGGTGGATAGTAATGGACTTAAGTCTATTAAAGTTATGCTATAATCAATGTGTTAGTTTTTAAGATTATCACAGTAGTCCATCCCCTCACATTTTAATCAAATAACAGTAGGCCAGTAGATCTAGCAGGGTGATGAAGAAATGGCATTATACCAATCAATAATATTTCAGGCTGTTGAATTTGTATAATTATGATCAAGATTAAGTCTTTAGCTTTAATAAGTAGCAGCAGCCCCAGAAAATGTAATTTATGCTCTATTTCCACTTCCTTCTCCACACTCCTTCTCCAGAAGCAGTAGTGCCACTACTTTTCTTCCTACTAACAGTTGATTAGTATCCTCAGACTGACACATTTTAAGATGGCTGCAACAGCCATGTCTGGATTTTCCTGAGAATTGCCTTAAAATAATGGCGTAGGGTAGCTAGCAGTAGTAGGCCATTCTGGAGAATTCCATGCCTTAGTGCCCATGAAGCAACTGCTCTTGTTGAAGGGTTGGGAAGACAGAATGTTAGAGACTGACTTATTTTAGTTAACAGCTGCCCTGAATTGCTGCTTAACATAGCTTCTTCATTTTATCTTATGGTAGGACTGTTCTTTTCTGACATACTACCTACTGGGGGGATGGTGTAAAACAGGGAACACAAGGAGAAAAGGAAGACTTCAGCCCATCACACTGGGAGAAAATATTGCTAGCATTGAGCACCCGATTAACATTTCAGAGAAGACAAATATAAATGAGTGTTTTGATTGCTGAAAAAAAAAAAAAGAAGAAATTCTTACTGTCGTATGGTAATAGCCAGGCACCCCTAATTTGCAGCCATCCAAGTTAATTGCTTTTCCAAGAGGATCCATAACACAGCACTGTCGTGGCCAGGGAAAATCTGCATCACTGTTCACTGTCCGAAAAGTGGAGGTGTATGTTTGCCAGTCGGTTGGACCATTCACACCACAGCATTGATGCTGGATTTATGAAGAAAAAATGCATTTGTTGGGGTGCAATAATAGGGCATTACACTTGTCATTAAAAAAAAAAATGAAATAAATTTCAGTCAATTTACTTTCTTACCAAAAATGTGTGAAATGATTTACATCCAATGAACCAGCATCAATTTTACAATGTTTCACATTATAAAAACATTGAAAATTGTTGGAATGTAACAGAACTGGGTGGAATACAAAAAGCACATCAAGGAACTCTGATTTCCTCAGATAGATAATTTACCGGATATTACAATGCAGAATGAAATCATATCAATGGGGGAAAAAAGTAGTTTACATTTTTCAAAAGCTCTCCAAATTTTGAGCTAACTCTGCGTCATCACATTACTTTTAGTCAAATTCATACAAAAATGTTGCTTAATGTCAAGAGAATAAATTGATAGATTATGACAATTATTCAGAACAGATTTCATAGATTGTGCAAGTGCATACAACAAATAAATCAAAAGCTCAAATAGGAGAAGGAAGACATATTAGATATGTTTGCTGCCTTGAGTTATCTATAAAAATAATAAAGCTGGGTCAGAAATAAATACATAACGTAGTCCTTAAAGTACTGTAACTCTGTTTGTCAATAATCCCTGAGATCAAGACTTTTTATTCTATATGCATTGTAATCACATTCTATCAAATGTAGTTATAATTCCACTTTGGGGTTTCTCTATGTATATTTTCTAAGCATGTTTTTATCCATTGGCCAGGCTTACATTATTTGAATGTCTGAAGATGCCGTTTGTAGTCTTCAAAGTACTAAGCAAAACAATAAGTGAAGATTCAAGCTGATGAGAAATTGTGGATAGTGATGTACTATAAGCAATTTATAATCCTATGTGTGCTCATTTTTAAATGACCTTTCCACTCAATTGGAATAACGTGTGATAGAATTATAGCGGCAATCCCTTTCTTTTAAACTCCACATTGTTGTCAAGCTCAAGCAGTAAAAATAACATAGATTTCAAAACAATGTCTTAAATGCTATAAAACACAAAGTTGAAAACTGTAAGACCAACTTTTTAGGTGGTAATCTAAAGTCTCTTTGAAATGTGTCTTTCCCGTAATCTGTCGGTCTGGTCTGCGATGAGTCTTTTCGCACAAACTGAACTTCTCCTCCATCTGCTTCCCACAGTCCCCCAGACTTTCATGCTAACAGTGTCACAATCTTAAAAATATTCTTAAATGAGAGTGAAGAATTAGTCTCAAAATAGTACAATATTCTTACCTGCAACATGAGACGATTCCATGTTCGGGTAATACCGTCACTCTTCCATTTGTCATCATTGTTGATTGGGTCTGGATTCTGGTATTTTTCCAACATTTGCCTCAAGAAAAGTTCAGTTGTAAGCTAAGTGGTAATAAAAGGAACAAATGTGAGCTTTCCCCCCTATCTGGAGAATACTCCATAAAATCAGAAGTCACGTCCTTGGTAACATCTAGCAAATACATCCTAGATTTTAAAAAAATTAATTAAAATTAATTGTTTTCCTCCAGTAGTACATGCTAACTAATGTAAATAACATTCACACAAGCTTAACCCACACATTCCAGTTTTGGGTAGACTACTTCACTGACTAACTTTAAGGAATTCATATGTAATTAAGCTTCTTTTTTTTTTTTAAAAAAAGTGATCATATCACTGAAATCTATTTGCTAATGAAGAGACTCTAGTCAACAAACAAATAAAATTCTCCAGCCCACAGTTGTGGTAGAAAGATTTTCTTTCCCTTAGATTAAAATAATGAATTAAAAGCTTGTTCATACCATATAAAGGTGCTGCCAGACCTTCAACATGTTTGCAGAAATTAATCCCTCCCCTTTTAACCTCTACACTGAATTAAGAGCATCTGAGAGAACAGACACATCACTGGCATAATACTCACGAAATCCCGATGCACTGTTGCTGTGATGCTAGAGGCCACTTCAAAGGCAAAGACAATCATCATCAGGATGATGTACTAAAGACAAACGAACAAAACACATGTCACAAAGAACATTTGATACACTTCAATCTCAAATTGAGTGCTATAACACCCCTCCACTGAAATCTGTTTTATTCCTTCTGTTTCTTCCTCCTTTAATTTGCCAGAATTAAAAGCTTTCAAACTAAACATGAATGGCTTTTCAAGCAACTTTCAGCTAAATTATTTGTTCATACATTGTTCATAGACTTCTACTGAAAAAGTCACATTGGCTGCAAAATGCAATTTAAGAAATGATGGAATTAAAGCAAGAATAAAACAAGAATCCTACAATTCCTTTTCTAAAACAGCACAGAAGAGGACCCAGCTACATTTTTCCTAGGAGCAAGTTCCATGAATATGCACTATTCTTGAGAATGTTCTACTCCTGTTAACATGTTGTACACCAGTTACGGAACTAAGACTAGGACTCACCAACCAACTTTGGGGTCTGTGTTAGGTGGTATTGAATTGACAATCTTTAAAAACTTTTTGTTCCTTTTGTTTGCAAAAATTTAAAGGCAGCAAACAGAATGATGGACATTTAATTACTCCACTAAACAATCCAGCCACAGTTTCTTGTTAGCATTAATTTGCGATACTGAGAATATACAGGTTTTCTTTGACTTAAAAACAATCATTTGGTGAAAAAGTTAATTGCAACTGGCCCATACACTTATGATTGTCGTAGCATCCCCATGATCACACAATCAAAATTCTGGTGCTTGGCAACCAGCATGTAATTATGATAGTCGCAGCATCCTGGGATGATATGATTATTATGTGCAACTTTCTCAGCTGGTTTCCAGCAAGCAATGGGGAAGCTGAAGGTAGGCTGGATCTACTTAATGACTGCAGGATTCATTTAACAACTGCTTAACAACCATGACAAAGAATGTAATAAAAGTAGGTGTGACTCCTTTAACAACTGCCTTACTTAACAAGAAATTCAAATTTCTGCTCCCAATTCTGGTCATAAATTAAGGACTACCTGTATTCATGCAAATTCAATATCAAGGAAGAGCAATCCAACTGGGTGCTTAACCATAGCATGTCATAATAAAAAACAACAACAATCAATCTAATTAACAAGAGTGGTGTCCAAAGTAAACCAGTAGTTGAAATAACAACATAATCTTCACATGTTATTTTATCTCCCTTCTTCCAAACTTAGCCCTTACTACTGACTGCTTTATGAATTCAGTTCTCAGGATGAACCAGATTCTTAACAATAGGGCCACAAATGAGTAACAAGTTGTTTACTGAACTCTCTGCACAGCATATTCTCCTTTGCCAGTAATATGGGCTGGAAATAATGTGCTCCAAATCATGTTTGATCTACAACTACTTCAAATCACACCTGCAAAATGATACGCTTTTCCTCTTGTAAACAATTCAGGAGCTCCCAAATATACAAATCCATTCATTAACCTGTCTATTAAAAATAATATCCACTTGCAAACTGTAGCATTCTTTGATTATGTTATCCACCAAATAATGCTGTTTATTATACAAGTAATAAATCATTCCAGAGATTATCTGGCAAATATATACTGTGAGAACCTTTTGCACTTTTAGGACAGTATGACCTGCAAAATCCATGTCAACATGTTCTTATTGATATCTTTATTGAAGCCTGGTCTGCACGGTATTCTGTGTAATCTATTCACTGCATTTTGTAAAACCTAAAAACTCTCATACGTTGAATTCTAATACTAATTTTCTCCAAATTATAGGTATTACAATGCCAGAGGATTTTTTTTCACCATTAGTTCTTGAAGTAACTTTCTTATGAACAGCGAAACAGAATTAGATTGACCATTCAAAATGTAACATCTTTTGAACTCACATTTTGTTGAACTAACAAATCTAAAGTCTGAGGGGGAAAAAAACGTTAAGCAGCCCTACCTTAAAAAAAGAGGAAACTGCAACAAAGAAAAAGGAATAAAAAAGGGAAATAGACTTGATGTTCTGTCATCTTAAGTGGAAATGAGAAAGATTTGTGTAAATATTTCACCCCAGAATGAAATTTCTGCACAGAAGGATAATCTTAGGAACAGCTTTATTAATATACTTAAGAAATGATGCCCAAACTTCAATATGCTGTATCTGTCCCAATTTATATAGTCCTTCAAAACTCTTCATTGAAGTGCTAATGATTTGAGGTAAAGCTATTTCCCATCCTTTTAAGACCATTTTAAATGCATCCATTTTCTGATGTTTTGAAATAACAAACCTTGCTGTTACCAATAAAAACTCAATCAGTCTTATAGTGCATCAGTTTCTATGACTAAAGAAAATTGAACATAAAATCAATAGGAGGGTTTATGCCAAAGTCTGCTGAATGATTCTCCCATTTTTTTGCAAAATATTTTCACAAAAATTAAAAACTAGCTGGGCATTGCCATACAACTAGCTTTGTGTAGTGCTCTGCTTAACATACACTAGGAAGTTTATATGTAGTACAACTTTACTGCAGTGTAAGTTTACTATTAATAATCTTCAACTTAGTTCTTACTAATTTACTAAAGCTTAAAAGCCATTCTGCACTAAGAATTCCAATAAAATTCAACACCTTAAAACTTTTAAGTCATAATTTCATCACCCTGTGGCCTTAAAATAAAAGTTTTATATAATGTGTTAGATATTTTATATGAAATATCTATTATAAATAAATTTATCTTCCTATTTCTTCTCTTAATTGAAAAACATAACGATCATTTTTCAGATTTCATATTCCTAAATGTTAAATGTGTTACTAAGAGTCAACAGTGAATTGATGGCACATAAAATATTCTTTTATGAGTCTGTATTTAGACATATCTTGTCCGTATAATATAATCTACTGTAAAGATTATTAACTTTTGATCTTTGAAATTGCATACCAGAAGCATTTACTTTTGTATAATATATCTGCAATAAATTGTCACAGCTCTAGAGCTGCTTTAGGCAATATCGGCAGACTTCAGCCTAGGAAAAATGGTCTATTTCTTCTGAAATTACTGTTACATTAACATTTGAATCCATTTCAACACCCTGTAACTATCTATATTTATTTCTAAAAAATCTTGGGGGGAAAGTAAGATAAGGTCTCCCATAATAATGACTTCATTGCTAATCTCAAGATGCCAGACTATTTTTCTAAAGTACTTTTTCAGTACTTTACAATTCTGCTAAGCTGTAGTTTCTTTATACTTTGAATGTCAAATCAGAACAGGCTATGTGTAATTGGAATTTACTTCAGGTGCTATTGAGGAATTACTAAATCCTGCTGTTTGTAAAAAGGTTATTTTCCTAAGAGTCCAAGCTTCTCCAAGCGTCTATTAAGAGTCCAAGCTTTTCCTGGTCACTTCCAATTTGACTTTTATACATTTCAGAATAATTTGCCTTTTTTTTAAACAGTGTGTGGGATTAAATCTTTCTCCGTTTAGGATCTTTTGGAATTGTTTATCCAGGATTTTTAGCACTAATTTTGTTCTGTGACAATTTTTTTATTTCTTTTTGTCTCACAAAATCATGCTTTTCTTTCATTTATAAATTTCTTCACTACCTGTCAGTTTTTGTATAAATGAGAAGTGAACATACATTCAGTAATTTAGCATTTAAACTCTTTTTTTGCAATATGAAAGTATTGCAAGAATATTAGCATACATGTTTTATGATATGTGCATCTTTCATACTGTATCTGTCGGAATACGGTTTATATTCTACTTTGAGAATAATGTTATGATAGAAATGGATTTCTCTGTTTCTTAAAATTGTATAGGAAAGCTGTAAAAGTATATAGAAAAGTGTCCTGTTTATTCATCCATCCATCCATCCATCCAGTTTTTCAGTTCATTTGGCTTCTGGGCTGTATGTGTATGTATATATTATCATGTGTGTGCAATGTGCATATCTATATCGAGATATAGGCTGATACAGATATAGATACAATATTACACATATTCATATAATGTTAATTCTGCTGTTGATAGGTTCATAATCTATCCCCAAAAGTTTTCTGGAATTGCCACATATTGACAACTTTCTATAAGGCCATAAGAATGGGAGGCAGGATATTCCATAGGAGAGAAGGCAATAGAGATGACCACCCCATATTTAAAAATCCAAACAAGATATAGAAGATATAAAAAGATATATAGAAGATATAAAAAAGATATAGAAGAATATGGAGTTTACAAAGATCAACAGGAATTAGATAAAATATTACAGGGGATAGAGGAAAAATGATTACTAAAATGTATCTCTTAAGATTCCAATGGAAGAAGGAGACCATGATAATTTGGGTGAAGAATTTTGGCTATAGCTTTAATTTGGGAGATTGGGAAAATTATGGGAAATAAATTACAAATTAACATTATCAGCAGCATATAAAGAAAATTTGTATAAAATGTTCTATCGCTGGCACTTACCTCCAGCAAGTTTGGCTAAGATATTTCCCTAATAGTTCAGCAAACTGTTGGAAATGTGATCATGAACAGAGAACTTTTTTCCATATGTGATGGACTTTCCCTAAAGCTAAGAATTATTGGCTCAAAATTAAGAATTGGCTTGAAGAAATTACAAAACAGAAAATTGAATTGAAACCAGATATATTCCTATTGGGTATATTAAGAGATAAAATTGGCAAAAAAAAAAAAATCAATATAACATATTCCATATAATAACTGCGGCAAGAATTGCCTGTGCCCAGAATTGGAAATGTGATAATATTCTTTCCAATACCATGATAATAAAAAAGGTTTTAGAATGCACAGATGGATAGGCTATTGATGGTAATGAAGTGAAAGAAGAAACAGAGTACCATGAAATTTGGAACCTATGGTGTAACTGGTTAGAAGGTAGACAAAAAGTAGATAAAGGAAAGAAAGGTTATGGTAAGATGAAATAACATTGTGTATAACTATGTAAATAATTTTGTACATGTATGAATATATGCTTTAAATGGAATGTAAAAATAATTGTAACAATACTTAATAATAACATACATATTTAGGAACACCATTATGAACATGCTGTAATTAGTGGAAATATGTTTTTAATTGTGAAAATATGATCAATAAAGATTTTTTAAAAAAGGAGATGACCACCATAATGCTCCTCCAGTCATGCTCATAGTAGATAAGAACCCTTGCAGGTATTTTTTCAATATTCAGGTTGGATTTTCAGAATTTATCTGGAAAAACCGTAAAACCATATTGGGATAAAGTTGGTGAATTGCACTCTGAATTGCACTCAGAAATAGACTGTTAACCATTGCAACTCTTGCAGAAAGGGTATAATGTGCAGTATCAAAACAAAGCATGATGCATGTGGGCTATTGCATTTTGGATCAGCTGAAATTTCTGGATATTCTTCAAGTACAAGCTCATTTTGAAAGAATTACAGTAATCTAGATGAGTACATATTCTTGGGACATCCTATTCCAGGTAAGACCACAAAGGATGCATCAGCTGAAACTGGGCAAAGATTTCCTAGTCAGGGATCTGTGATTTCAAGAGGAACCATTTCACCTCATATTTTAAATTTGAGAATTAAAGCTAGTAGAGTCCTACAGTCCATTGGGTTCTGAATTAACAACTGCTCCATCTTTCTTGGATTGGTTTTGAAACTATTTTTTATTTGTCTATAGATCATGATAGCCCTCCAGCCACTAGGTCAAGACTATTGTAAAATTATGTAGCTACTATATGCAGTTCTGATCATAACCACTTTCCTCTTGCCCTATTTGCTTGCATAAATATACCAATCAAAAACTTTAATTTTTAATTGCACTGAATGGATTTTCTTTCTAAAGAAATGTGGCTATAATCCCTTTGATAAGAGCCTCATCTTAAAATGGCAAAAATGAAGAACTAGAAAAAAATATTTTTCTTTTTTTTATTCATGTCATAGTGATTGACAGCAAACTATGCAAAAATACCTTTAACCAAAAAGTTTCTACTTCTAAAACTGTCAGTAATTTTTATTTGTGCAAGAAGTGCCAGCACATATAATGATTTCAGTCTCTGAAACTCTGCAATCACAGTATTTCCTTGACAACCTATTCATTATTGTCTCCTATGGTATTATCACTGTTTTAGAAATCCCTTTGTGCAAAACCCACAAGAATATACCAAGATATACAGCTAGCAGTATTTCTTTTGTTGCTACATACTTACCACTAATAGCATAGTCCTGCTTGACTGTATGACACCAACAATACCAAGAACAGATAGACAAAAGAAACAGAAACCGGTGAAGATCCCAATCCAGGCAGCACCATAGATATCATCATTGTCTGTAGCTTCCAGCAATGGATATAGGGTGTGATGATCAGACACGAAGTATATACATTCAGCCATGAGTGCAAGGCCACAACACTGAAACCAGAGAGACACAAGTCATTCCAGAACATTCTCTAATTTTTTGCATTTGTTTGGAAGGCAAAAATCTGAGCCAAACCGGATACCCCATTTGACTCTCACACTTCTTTCTTTCATAAAAAGGATACTCCAGATCAAAAAATACTTATATAAATTTGTGACTGTAAGGATTACAAATATTTTGCATAGCTTCCATTTTTCCAGCTTCCAAGCGTTTGCTTCAGTTCTGGATTCCTTTGAACGGAAAACGATGTTTCCTCAAACTGATGCCAATCTCTTTTTACCAGCCATTATGTTGGTCACATGATTCTTATCCCAATTGTATTTTCCCTCTCACTTATTACTTTTTAGAATTAATACTACTTTTGTATACTTTTATTTGACTACTTTTGTATACTGTTATTCGACAAAGACATTTTCTATTTGTTTTTTTAAACAAGAAAACAGACAAGTTATTTTTCATTCACAATAGGCATTCTTTCTGCCATTATTCTTGTCTCCACAAATGAAAAACACATTTGCATTTTTTAGATTTCAAAGTAATGCTGAATTGGGAAATGCATACATCCAAGCACATACGTACATAGAGACAGCCACACACTCCTAATTCTAACATGCAACTTAAACTAAAGACGTACATTTATAAAGTGCAATAATAAAAATAAATGAATAAGAATGTTTTCTACATTCAATGTTTATGTGCAGTATATGGATTTTATAGCCTAGTATGGCTGCTGTTCTGTTGGCATGAGCCAGATTAAAGAGTGAGAAAAAGGGGCGGAGGGGGGAAGCAGCTTTAGCCTTAAAAGGCAGCTGCTGAATTAGGAAGCCTGATGAGATGACCTGGTTGCTAGCCAGGGGTGGTGTGGGGAGATTTTGAGTGGGCAATTTCATTGGGACAGTGAGATATAGAGGGCTTTGGTACTAGAACTCTGGGGAAGCAGACCCAGGGCTGACAACCTGTTGTGATAACTACATATTCCATCCAAGATTAAATGAAACTCTGAATTGAAGTCTCTGTAGAACAAAAAGATTAAGAGATGCCCCGTTTGGAGTTTCTGATGAGACAAATTTTTCCCCTCCCTCCCCGGAAGACCTTCTTTGTAATTCACTTGTAAAAAAAAAGAGTATATTTTGCAATTTGTATCTTCTTTTTTTTTTGTTCTCGCCTTTTGCTTAGCTCCTATCATACAATGACCAGTTGCAGGAACCGGACTTGGCTAGTCTAGTGAAGAGAAGGACCAGGGTAGACATGACAGCAGTAGTCCAATATTTGAGGGTCTGCCACAGAGAGGGGGGGGGGGTGTCAAGTTGTTTTCCAAAGCACTAAAGGCCAGACAAGGAACAATGGATGGAACCTGATCTAGGAGAGATTCAACCTGGAAATAAGGAGACATTTTCTGGCAGTGAGAACAATCAACTGATGGAACAGAAGTTGCTTTCAGAAGTTGTGGGAGCTTCATCACTGGAGGCCTTCAAGAAGAGGATGGACTGCCATCTGTCAGAAATAATGTAGGGTTTTCTGCTTCAGTGGGGGATTGGACTAGATGATCTACAAGATCCCTTCCAACTCTGTTAATCTGAATCTGAAGCAGACATCTCAGTTGCTACAGGACATGCTGCCAATGTAACCCAAAATTGAAGCGAGAGAAGGGAATGTAGAGTGGAGACAGTTTTAAATTGGAGTGAACAAAGAAGGGAAAGGGAGAAAGGCTAGAGAGAAGTTGGAAAGTGAAGTGAAACTTCTAGGCACGTATTGATTGTTGTTTAGGGAAAGGAAAGCAATGGTTCAAGAATGGCCTCCCTGGAAATATGGAAGTAAAGGTCCAGAGGAACAAGCTCCATTGAAGATCCACAACTCAGCAGGGAAAGGAGGGATCTGGCTGGTTGCAGTTGGTGGCTTCAGCCAAGTCTAAGACCCTGGAGGAAAAAAGGGGAATCAGCTGCCAGTAGAGAAGCCCTGGTTTGGGAAAAACTGGACAGAAGAGATATTCTTCCTGCAACATCAGTGTTCAGCTGAACTGGAAAAAAGTCAGGCAACACGGAGTACATTCCACTAATCCCAGTCCAGTCCAGTTCAGTCATTTCTTTTTTCTCTCTTACCAAGCCCAGAAACAAGGGATTGCGACAGAAACGGAAGAGGAGGAAGGAGAAGAGATAGATGGGGAAAGTCATCACAGGGAAACCTGGGAGCAAAACCTGACATCAGAACTGTGTGGTTTATCCCTGTTGTAAATAACTGCATGTAGTGAAAAAAAAAATTAAAAACCCCCTCCACTGTGTTCTAGTGTCCATTGCTAACTTTGTAAACCCTTCATACTACAACTACATACTACAATTAATAATTTACAAGGGAATGACTATATTCAAGCATTCAACTAAACCAGAGTATAATTTGTTGGGTTGGATTTGGCTTGTTGTATAACTGAATCTTTGCAGTTTCTAAAACAGAATTTAGGGTTTAGCGTGATATATCATTGCAACTAACTGTAGTTTACAAAGCTAACTATTAATTTCAAAATCGTGGCTTAATATTGTGTGAACCTAGACAGTGGTATATTTTTGAAGAAGCCATTGCTAAGTTACTTACCCCTAGGACAACATTTCCCAGAATTAGTAAGCCCTGAAAGCATCGAACACCAGTATCTCCTTTTGCCATGTTCAATTGGCAAGTCAATCTAGAAAGGAATTATACATGTGTTAACACTGCAAGTTCTTTCAAAAGTGCTGTCTTTTCCTCCTCTTTTGAACCCTGAAAGCCATACAATCTTCAGCTATGTTCCAGGCTGTAATAAAAAGTTTCAAAGATTTTAAAAATCACAACAAAATGATCCTACAGTCTCTACAATAACTTTTTTTAATTGTACAGGAAGAACACCTATTCAAAGAAAGCCATGTGTCATATAAAATGTTTTATTAACTTTTGAGGTGGGAATTATTACTTAGGAATTGATTAAGCTTTTGAACACATAATGTATTTTAAGAAAATATTTGTATTTCTACCTCAGTTGAATTTTGACATAATCCATTCTACATGCTTCAACTCATAATTCATTTCTTCACCTGATTATTTGTGGTAGGATTAAAATAATCACATTACTTGCATGTTATATCACTCCTAGGAAGACAATGAGCGAGATTTTTCATAGCTTCTCACACCTACCTGGGAGGTTCCTTCAACCTTAGGCTACAGCTTCTGCTTCATGAAAATGTTGAAAATGTTATTTCCTATTTTATAGCAAATAGCCTACAGCAAGCCTGATTCAACCTTTTTGGGTGAGAAAGTCACACCCATCAGAAACTCTGTTGCAGCCCCTGTTATGGAACCGGCTCAGAAAATAATTCAAAGAGCCGGTTGCAGCTAGAACAAGGGAGACTAGGAAAGTAACATTCCAGTTGAATGTTTTAAAGTTCTGAAACTTTCTGCTTTGCATTCCAGTCTTTAGTATCTTCTATGGAATTTACACACCCTCTCTACCATTCTCTCTTACGTACTTGCAGGAATATGACTACTAGAAGAGAAATTCAGTGATATTTGTATGGATGAAGTGTGGTGCTCTTGTTTATTTTTAGTTATGAGATGCGGGGAATGTGAATATCCTTTTACATTGCACAGTCCTTGGTTCCTTCTTATACTTTCAATAAATCTATTGCTTAAATATAATTTTAAAAAAATAATTTTTACATCGATAAAGGTTAAACATATATAAAAAAGAGCTAAGAAAAAGAAAAAAAGTGTGAAAAAGCAATACAAATAAAGACGACAAGAAAAAGACAAAAAAGTTACTTCCAATGTTCTTTACAGCACTTACAGACCAACATATTATCCATCTCTCAGATTACATCCCTTCTATCTCATTTTCATCCTTTTTAAATCTGCAAACTTAGAAATCACCATTTCATTTTTTTATAGCAAAATATCATAAAAGGATTCCACTCTTTTTTTTTTATAAAAGAACATGTTTCATCCCTGATCAAATAGGTCAATTTTGCCATTTCTGAAGATTTATGTACATTTAGTTGGATTCTGCTTCCATGTAACATAAATCCAACTAAATGTTGGATTCTGCCTTTGTGTAACATAAATCTAACAACTGTATCTTATACTCTTTGATAAGAGAGAAAAACACCTCTCTTTAATGTGATATTCATTCAGATATTTAAAGAGTTCTATCATGTTTCTTGTCAATCATCCTTTTTTCAAGATGAAATATGGTGTCCCAAATTGGAGGTGGGGGAAGACTCACTAGTCAAGGTGAGTCTAACCAAAGCAGGACTGACTGGAATGATTACTACCTGTAATTTGGAGACTATGCTTCTCTTGATGCAAACTGAGTGTCTTCTTTCCAGTTATGTGACACTGCTGGATCATATTCAATTGCAGAAAACTACATCCACAATTTTTTTCACATGCACAGTTGGTGTACCAGATGGCTGCCATCTTATACTTGGACATTTGATTTTGTTGTTGTTTTTAACTGTGAACTTTGCACATATATCTGTTGTATTTTCTTCTGTTATTTCTAAACTATAATTTTTATTCTATCTTCTATGTTCTACCTTACCTGAATTTGAATCATCTGCAAATTTGATAAGTATTCTCCTCAGTCAGACATAAAATTAATTGTTGTGGCATACCACCTAATACTATTCCCAATTTTATGGATAACCATTGAAGTATACTCTCTGAGTGTGTTTTGTAAGCCAACTATGTAATCACTTTATTGCAGTCTATAAGTAATCAGCTTACTGGTCAACGTATTACAAGAAATTTTGTCTGATCTTTTGCTGAAGTCAAGATATTATAGATATAACATTCCACAATATATTAAAGAAGTAATCAGAAAATGAGATAGTTTGTCAAGATATGTTCTTCACAATTTCAAAATTATTTATAGCAAAAGCACTGTTAGTTTCCTTTATTTTAAGGAGGAAGAAGACAAGCAGAAAAATGCATTGGAAGGAGAAAAGAAAAGAATAACTCTATATTACTGGCTAGAACTTAAAGACTGGCTCCAGATTAGTATTGAGATCATCAGTTATTTAAAAATGTGCGTGCATTTGATTTCAAAACTCTCAAGTGAGTGAAGAAAACAAGTGAAGAACTAAACAAACATCTTAATTTTCTTGCCGCAAAACTGTTTATTACAATAATAACCAATATCTTATGGCTTAAAGACAACTGCAATAAATATGTTAAAATTTGAGGTGCCCAAGGGCTCTCAAAGGGAGAGGAGAAAAATGTACCAGTATAATTAGTCCAGTTCTTTCTTGATATTGGATGAAATGTTTGTGTGACCTTGGTAACATTTCATATTTTAGACTTGTTTTTATCAACATGCTAGTATAATATCTCAGCTGTAACATATGGGTTTGGGATTCAAGATAAGAGCTACATGCCTGTAGAGGTATGTCTTTCCAAATCAGAAATGGCCTGGAATTGGCTTTTTTATTGTGTATGAAACTTCCTAACTGAGCCTTGTTTTTAACAATTGTAGAACAAAAGCTTAAAAACAAAAAAATAAAAAAAATGCAAGTAAACGAAGAGTGGAAAACACCCTGACTCCACCAAAAGCAGAGAAGCCTTGGATAAAAGAGAAATATTTTTGAAAGGGTGTGGTTGAGAACAGAGTCTCTATGAGCATTGAACCTTATTTTACAATGTCCTAGCTTGCATACTCAGAAATTTCATTGGGTAATGGGAGCTGTTCTTTCATTGTAAAATATTTCATTTCCCAGTTTTTTCCCTAAACAAATTATGTCTGAACACATTGTTGCCCTGACGACTCTTAAGAGTTGGGAATGTTTGTTTTCAACACCATATTTAAGATCAGTCTTAGATATTAGTTTGTTTGCTTATTTATTTATATTTGCCTTTATTATTTTTACACATAATTCATGGTGGTGAACATGTCCAACAAAACTTCCCGCTCCTATTTTTCCTAGAACAACAACCCTCTGAGGTGAGTTTGCTAAGAAAGAGCCATTAGCCCAAGATCACCCAACTGGCTTTCATGGCTAAGATGGAACTAGAACTCACAGTCTCCTGCTTTCTACCAAAGTGCCTTAACCACTAGACCAAACTGGCTTTAGTGCATATGGGTAGCACAAAATGCAAAAGATAGTCTAAAGTACACTGGATAAATAATCATGCACCAAAAGTGTTTGTTATTACAATGCCACCTAGTAGGTTGAAATGGGCAAGAATATGCTGAATTTCTGGATTAAAGATTATAACCTGAATATAGCGGTAGCAGTATGCTTGGGTTAAAATTGAGCATCGTGGCATACCCTAGCCAAAATGTATTCAAACCGTAACCATTTAGAGCCAGGATGGGAGCAAAGATCAGTATCTAAGGGTGCATCTGATGACCCTCTTGCATGGAACTTGAAACTCAAATTATAAGAATAGTAAACATAAAGAGCATTAACTAACAAATGAAATGGGAGCAAGAAAAAATAGATAACTTGTGATGTTGTGAAACCCAAAGGAAAAAAAAAGCAGGGAGACAAGGATCTGCATGAAGGTGGCGTGTGGACTGGAGTTGATTAATACATGCATCAAAGTGAAAGTATATGCTTCATTTATGAATGAAATGGCTAAAATGAATGGCAGAAAGGATGGATGTGTGCGTGGGTGTGTGGGTGGGTGTGCACGCGTGTGCGCGCACCCCCTCCCCATATGCACCCATACGTTGGTGACAGCTGGATGCTACATCCATTGAACACTAACAATGAAAGGATTATGAAAAAAACTGTGGATCATTCTGAATGAATGAAATTCAGGGATGGATGACTGGCAAAAAGACAGCATAATATAGAAAACTGATTGAGCAATTCAGAAATACAGGAATAAAGTTAAATGAAAAAGAATGGTAATTGTTGGTAAGCAGTTGCTTAGAAAAACATCTAAAAGTTTGTTTTTAATGTGTGTTTGAATATATCTATTCATATGTACATATGAATGCAAATATAAAAGCATTATTTATTTGATTGTGATGAAAGACAGAATTAGTGAGCAATATGAGAATTATGACAGGCTCAGTGGGACAGATCAAAATTTTGTTAACATCCAGAGTTGAACTGGATGGGAAAGTGAATAGTGAAAACAAATGGAAAGAAATAAAGGAAGAATGCCTGGGAAGGTGAAAGCATGAGACCGGTATAAAACCTGATAAGAATATATTCTCCAAATAAAACGAATGGGAAGTGGATGTAAGGAAAGATAGTGAGGAAACTTCTTGGAACAAGGCATTAAGGATTATGCTACAAGTATGTTAATAGGAAAATATTTGGTGGAATAATGAAGTTATTTTTTCCTTACAAATTGGAAAAATATGCATAAAAGAATTATTGCCATGAAAGACAGAGCAGAAAAATACTGTATAATATGTTTAAAGAGGGAATGATAGTTGTAATATAATCAAAGACGTAAAGGGATCGATAATTTTAAAAATCAGAGGATTGTTGATGGAAATGAAAACTTTTTGAAGTAATAGATGAAGAACCAGCAGTTTGAATAGACCCTTGCTTCCAATGAGCATTCTGGCTTGATCTCCTGTATTTACTGAATGAATGGTTCTTTTGATTGTTCAAAGAAAGCAACCTTTTCTGACATAACAAATCAAAGGAATCAGTCTTTCTCTTGTTCCTGTGAAGAAACCGTTGTTACGTGCTT